ACCTCACTAAGATGATTGGTAGGAAGAAGTCGTGCGGAAATGAAATAGTTTCATGCATTGGAGGGTGCATTTAACATTGAGGCAGAGAATTTTACCTTGTGGTCATTCTTAATTTTCCAAACTCTTCTACTGTCAGTCAAAAATAAATTAACCTCATCCAACTATGACTCAATAGGCTCAAATGAAGAATAATTGTAGTTTGGTATATCCAGTACCTGGTAAAGAGTGTTGATCCGCTCTAGTGTAAACTCTACACTTCTTTCTTGAACAAATATCTTATCATGAAAGGCTTTTCGGAGGTTAGCGTAAAATTCCCATACAATAGAGATAACTGCTATAGCAGTAAAGTAGCAGAAGATTTCCCAATGTCAGGTCACAAATAAACTTTCAACAGCTACTCAGGGATTGAAGAAATCTCACTCTTGAATAAGCTTTTTAGAATTGATTTGATCATCATAAATGTATTGAGCTTTTATATTGGCAAATTACTTAAAATTAAAGGCATCTTTTCCTTTCCCCTCTTCATCTTAGGAGCCATGATAATTCTATAAATTCATAATAATTCCAAATAAATTCTAAATAAAAGTTCTATGAACTCATAAAATCAAAATCAAAGCTAAGAGACTTCACACCATGGATTCTTCACTATTTTATTTTAAATTTTTGAATTTTTGGTATTTTCATAATGTAGAAGAAATACATGGTGAAAATTAAAAATTTCTAAGCGAAAGAGAAGCTCTTACCAGGAAGAAATCTAACATTTTCAATCCACGAGATGGCCTTAAAATCAAATGAAGTGTTGCCCTAGGGTGATGGTTTGGTGTTTTTCGTGAAGAAGATGAACCAGGCAAAAAAATAGTGAAAATGGGCCAATTTTGCAATTTTAGACTGTGATTTGGCAAGCCAGCCGAACTACCGCTTAGGCATCAATTTCTCGGGTGATTGACTCCTATGCGTCATATTTTGGCGCCTAGGCACCATGTTTTTTTTTATATAAAAAAACACAAAACACCACAGCTCTTTGAACTCTAATTAGACCAATTCAACTTAATTTTCATTATTAAACATCTTCTAACTTCTAATTTTTACAAATAATGAATAACACACTTTTATATATAAATCCAAACAATTAAACAAACGAACACACTGATAACTAGACACTTAATACAGTGTTAAAATCACAACAAAAAATATACTGGCGCTGCAAACTAATAAAAAATATTAATAACCAAGCACATATACTCAACTATATTTAATAAAAAAATTTTCAACACAACATAGAAAAGCTCTTATGAATTTGAATTCAGTACTTCTGAGCCACTACATATTTTCATCCACAACACTTTCCACTTCTCTAAATTCGCCCATTGACTGGTGGTGCACATACAAGTTATAGAAAGGACGGTATGGAAATTCATCTGTCGAATCATCCTCGATCCAATTATTTTTCTTAAACATTTGTACCTTTGCTTCTTCAATAAGTGCAGTATGATCTGATTGTTGTTTGATCTGCTAATCCAAATGGTCAAATGGATCAGATATTCTGCTAATCTTGTTCATAATAATAGCCATCTCCTCTTACAACTTCTTAATCTTCTTTAAGATAATAACAAGGTTATCAGGTAGTTTGGGTCATGAAAATGATGCTAAATTTTGAGGAGATTGATCCATAGAAGCATTTCTACCATGTGTTCCTATAAAATCCACGTAGTCACAACTCATAATAGACTAGTCTATGGGCTTCCAAGGAAGAAGCACCTTTTCTCAATTCTTGTAAGGAACTTGAGCTTGGCTACACAGTAAAAATATAGTTGATGGATGTCCCACTCTAGTAGCAGATCCATTTAGTGCTAAGCCAAGAATGGATCTAAAGATTAGAGCCCCCAAATAGATTTGCCTCCCCGTTTGAATACAATAATTGAGGATAACACTCTCCTTCATCACTTCTCTGAGTTTTTGGGTAAGAAGTAACTTGACTGAAATGAAGAATGTCAGCTTCGAGGATGGATTTAACATCGAAGTAGGAAAACTAACCTTGAAGTCATTTCTCATTTCACAGGTCTCTTCTTCATTCGTCAAGAATCTAAACACTTCATTTAGATTGTCTCTAGTCAGAGCAAAATTGGCATAATGACAAATTGGAGCATTCTCTATCAAGAAAAATTCATTGATTCTTGAAGGAGTGAAAAGTACCAACTTGCCTCGAACAAAGCCAAATTCTTGGTTCATCCCATGAAGACTAGTATAAAATTCCTTCATGACAGAGATAATAACGGCAGTACTAGTGTAACAAAGTATTTCCCAACACCTCTGCGAGATTATCTCTTCCACAGAACCAGCCGGAGTAATGAAACCTCTTTCCTTAATCAATCTCTTCTTCATAAGAGATTTATCATATAACTTCTACGCAACCTTGCTAATGAACCTCTTTCTGTCAAAGATCTGAGGGCTTATGCTTGCTTTGGTGTTAGAAGCCATGAGATTAAGAAATGATGGATCCTCTCCCTCTCAAATGATCACAAATAACCCCAAATGAAAGTTTTAGGAATTAACTAGAAAACAATTCGTATAAAACCATCAAAATAAATTTACAGGGCATTTTTTGAATTGTGGAGCCTAGGCGCCAAATCTAGGCGCTTAAGCATTAGGCTCACTGTAATATGGCGCTTAGGCGGCAATTTTTGATGCCTAGGAGTCAGTGCACAAATTTACTCCGCCTCACCTAAGGTCCAAATAACACTCATAATCTCTTTTGGATCATTAATTATAGTGTTGTATGCATCTTCTTAACATGTAGGTCTTTATAGCACATAGAATTCACCCAAAACACCTAACTTAAACAAAAGCAAACTTAAATCAACTACATAGATAACTATAGGTTGCCTCTCATAAAGCGCTTGGTTTAACGTCGCCATCTGACGTATTCAGACATTATTCTGGTTGACCCAACATTAACACTTCATTAAAGACAGGTCTGTGTATGTCCATTCACATTAAATATTCTGATAGTTTTTGGATCTTTAATATCCACAACAGTTCTTTATGCACCCGGATGAGAGTAAAGAATAGATATGCTCGTATTTATCACAAAACTACATTTAAATCTATAAACATTTCATTCATACACTAATTATGATCTCATTGCAAGGAGAATAACTTCCATATAATTTGAACTCTTTTACGTAAAGCTAGTTTAAAAGCACTTAGTATTTTCTTTAAGTTTAGAAATAGAATTAGTAGGTATAAGTTTCCTTTTTACACATAATTTCAATCTAAATTCCTAGATAAGTTACCCACAGTTTAAGTAGAGTTTTACTAAGTCTATAAAATCAGTTTTTTATTCCCCGTAGGATCGATACTTGGGACTTCATTAGAGTCATATACTACTTGAATGATACATGCACTGTGTTTTTATCCTAGTGAATTTTTGAAATCAATGATTAGTAATACCTACATCATTAGGATTAGCCACTATAAACATATAAAATTACATTATCAGTATGGAAAAAGCAGTCAACTAATTTTTTCATAAAAGAAAAATATCCTTCTTAGTTGGCAAGTGTTGTATCGGTTAAAAAGAAGAATGGACAAATTTATGTGCCTATTCACTTTCAAGATCTTAATAAGGCATGTATTAAGTATGACTTTCCTCTGCTCAGAATAGAATTAATGGTTGACATTGCCTCTTCACTCGTAATATTCTCCTTCATTGATAGATTGTTGGGCTATAATAAATAAAAATGGCTCCTAATAATGAGAAACATACCGCATTCAGAACCTCGATTTGAGTTTACTGCTATAAAACTATTCAATTCAGACTAAATAATATTCGCGCTACCTACTAATGATCTGTACTAAGATTTTTGACAAAATCATCTACTAACAGGTTGAATGGTATGTTGATAACATGTTGCTTAAAAGTAAAGAAAGAGAAGACCACTTATATGACTTGAGCATTACATTTGAATGTCTACGCTTATAAAACCCTGAGATGATTATGTTGAAATGTGCCTTTGACTTGACTTCTAAAAAATTCCTAGGGTTTGTAGTATGACAATGGGGGATTGAATTTGACCCCGAAAAAATTAAATCATTATTAAAAATGTCATTTTCCAAAAGCCTAACACAATTAAGATCATTTCAGAGAAAACTAGCATACTTAAGATGCTTTATTTATAACCTTGGTGATAGGTGTCATCCATTTTCTACTTTAAATAAGAATAATGCCATGTTTTATTATATCAATGACGGCTAACAAGCCTTTAAAAGCATAAGAGAATACTTATAGACACCTCCAACATTAGTAGTCCCCATCCTAGTTCTGTCATTAATCTACTATATTATTGCTTCAGATGAATCCCTTGGTGCCTTATCAACTCAAATTAATGAGGATAAAAAGAATGCATTATACTACTTGAGTCATCAATTTATCTCAGCCAAAAGAAACTATCCCACAATCGAAAATCAACATTTGTCCTTGATTTTTGTCGTACAAAAAATTAAGATACTACATACTCACAAAATTAGTCTTATTTCTAGGCTTAATACTTTACAATATTTGATGACATATCCAACTCTATTAAGAAAAATACAGTCAATTTTATTTCACTTTAATATAATCTTTGTTCCCTTGCGTGCTATTAAAGGCCAGGCTTTGGCCAATTTATAAGTAGTACATTCATTGTATGTTGATACTCTTATAAATGATGAACTACTTGATAAACAAATAATGGCTTCATAGCTTTTCATCAGAGAGATGTTCCTTAATTTCTCTTTAAATAAGACTGTCAGATTGTCTCGAGAGTCATTTTTTAGCATAGAACACTAATCCAAACTATTTCAAAATATTTTAAATACAATGCATTTCAATAATAATTCTTTTTTTTTTCCTTAACAAAACATTCCTTTTTGAGAAAACTGAACATCACCTTATTCTTTATTTTGCATTCTTCTAGAGTTCGGAAACAACAACAAACATCACAAAACATAAAATACGGCATCCTTGGTAGATTAGAAACTTCAGCGAACATCAATTATAGATGACAACAATTCTAATCAATTACTATGAGCTATGTGCTCCAAAAATTAGAACCCAAATGACATTCATGAAACCAATTTTTTCCATGGCACCCCTAGTCAAAGTTTGCAACAAAAAATTAAGATCATTAACTTAACCAAAAATTTCAAATATTAGAAAGCCTTAACATTGAAGCTTTCCTTCTCCAATAGGTAAGATTCTTCCAAATCAAGACAAATCAGCAATATCCTAACTGCTCCCTATTGTATGGTTTCTGCACCATGATAAAATCTACAAGCTTAGAATCAACCATCTTGGTATAAAAATTGAGGATGGTGAACCACCTTTGATTAATGCCACAACCTGCTAAAGAACCCACTCTGAACTGCTGGCTGCTTGCTGCAAATTCCATCCATAAAAGCATCTGCCAACTGAGCCACTAAACTCGCAGGCTCGTCAATCAGAACATGAATGAAGGTGCTCACCACCCTCCGCTCTTGTTGCGTGGCCTTCAGGCTAAACCACGTAAGGAATTTCACTCGGAACTCCTTCTCCATGTGCCCTTCACACTCCAACCATCTAATCACCTTAACGCAGTACTCGTAATCCCTCTCTACTGATTCCTTCTTGTTCGCTGAACTTGGTGCGCCGATGACTCGATTAGGTTTGCTTGGTGTTTCAGCGGGAACAGAATTTGAGCTCACAAAAGCACATGGCTCCAGGTTAGATGGCACCACATGGCTCTCGTTGTTATCGCTGTCATGTTTATGGACTTTGGTTGCGAGGTGATCATCGCTAGAGTTCGTCGAACCTTTTTGAGAATCCGTTTGAATGATAATAGGTTGCTCGGCTGTCTCATGTTCTTTCTTCGGGAATGACGAAACGCGGTTAAGATCAGGAACTCTGCCGCTGTTACCACTCGGGTTTTGTGTCGAGCACTTGGACTCCCATCTCCCGAATTCCTTGGTGCTGCTGAACGGAGCTGCTCTGAAAAAGTATTCCGTTGAAGGACAAAGCCCTGATATCATGATTCTCTTTTCAGGTCGCAATATAATGCAGGTTGGTTCTTCAGGGTAGTCCAAAGCCTTGGAACATCGATGCCATAGTTTGCAGCCTATGATATTCTCTTCAAAGACTTCGTCTATGGAATGAAGCGAGACAATGATAGTAGTTGGAGAGAGATCTTCAAATCGGATGCAGAAAACTTGAGGGCCTGATGCAAATGATGAAAAAGAAGAGCTGTAAGTGGCATCACAAAAAAGGATTGAGCCAAGGTTATTAAAAAAAGCGCAATTACTTGGAATGTTTAGAGCAGCACCAGCCATGAGGTCGAAGGAAGAAGAAAGAATGGAATCTGTAGTTGTCAAGGCGTAAGCACAAAGCTTCTGAATCTCCGCACCACAAGCAAGACGGTTAACAATTCCCCTTGCCATCACTGCAGAGACTTTATCAAGAGAACCAACTTCTTTCTTGAGTTTCTTCACTGCTGCATTCACAATGCTGTGGAGTTCCTTGTAATCTTCAGTTCCTCTGAGGATCTTGTGACTTAAAAACAGTCTCTCACATAGTACATCTACCCTCCTCGCATCTTTCGCAATTAACAACTGTTTACGCCAGCTTCTGCATTTCATCCATTGCCATTATTTGTAAGTTGAGTAAGTTAACTGCTTATGTTAATTAAATGAAACAATTAGGAGGCTGTATGGCCGCAAGTATACATAGTATACGGGAAATTTAATACAGTATAAAATAAATACAATATCTTTGAAATATACTCTCTATATTTTGGGTGTTGAAATGTAAAATTTTTAGTTTGGATAACCAAAACGTTATATTTAATGCTAACATAAAATTAGGAGATCATTTTTTGTGTTTGGATGAAGGTAAAAACAATCTAAATTTTAACATAGGGGTACTTACATGCAAACCAGTATACCACTCAATTCCCTGTGTATTTACATATCAAACACAAATTTCACTTTTTATATTTATCACGAAAATTTTTCATATCACATAAATATCACTATTTTAACTTCTAAATAGTAAAATACACCTTTTTATGCGTAGATAAGGTGGTATGAATGAAAAAAATTGAAGTGCGGGTATTAGACATGTAAGTACATAGGAATTGAGTGGTATGTATGTAAATCTTCCTTCAAAATAATGATAATTAGTAAACCTAAACATGAGACGTGACATTAGCGCATAAAATTGTACTAGATATATCAAAAAATCTTCAAGAAAAAGATTGTTATATATCAAATAAAAGAGTTTGAATGCTGAAACATTTTTTTTGGCCTGTTATAGTAGATCAATTGATGACAGTCAACCTCATCATATTGAATCATTGAGGAAATCGGATAACCAAGGAAAGTAAATAATAATAATTCTTATCGCTAGGTTGTCAAAGCAAAATACAAAGTTGTGGCCCATGTTACATGCCAAATAAATGGCTTTAAAATTCTTCAGAGGATTTGTTCGTTCACAAAAGAAATTTCAAATTATTTTACGTAAAATGTAAGAAAAATCATGTATTTACAATACTTTACCAATATTTGGTTAGTTTAAAATTTTAGAAGTTTATATTTTTTTTGTTAGTTTCCTTGCATAGTTTTTCAAATAATAATGGTGATGGCTCGCAGTGATTGACGAAACCAGGTGGCCAGCAAATGGAGGTCTAATGTGGCGGCTGGCGACTAGCAATAGGTGGCAGAAGAGGGTGACAAACAATTGGTGTGTGGGCAAATGGTTGCTGATGAAGGCTGGCAGTTTGCAAGAAGCAGCACTGGCAGTAAGCAAAAAGGACGAGTGACAGCAGGCAGCAAATAGGTTAAACTCAAAGCAATTAGGACACTTTCCTCATTTACATGACAAGCTAATAGATGTATAAGCCCAACTTGATAGGAAGTGTTAACTTATAAATGGTATAGAAAAAACAGGTAGGACCCCTAATGCTATAATGTGATGATAAATAATTTATATCTTTATGTGTGAGTATTATTTTATCTTTTTTGTATAAACATTATATTTTAATGTATGCCTGATTTTCAGTCAAAATTACAATTACTATTTCCTCTTTTAACATTCATGGCATATTCAAAAAAATGTCTTTAGTGGTTTATAAGATCATGTATAGCGCATGGCATACAAGAGTGTCCTGAACAATGAAGATAAGTAGTTGATCATAAGTTGATGAATTTGCTATTCTAGCCAAACACTACTTCAACCATTATGCGCAGTTGCATAGTCTAGTGGTTACTCGTAAGCAAAAAAAGCTACATATGCAAGTCATATAATTCATGACAAATCAAATAGAATAGGAATGTAAGAAGAAAAAATCTCCTTTCATATTATTCTTTGAATACAACTATCTTCCTCTTAAAAAAAAAAGAGAATCTACATAAACCTCTAAGGTGTAGTGGGTGTGGATGATACCTAAAACAAGAAGTTAATTTAAATAGAAGAGAATTATTAATGCTACGGAAATAATTAAACTTTATCACTTCTGAGCATTTAGACCAGATGGAAAGTTGTCTAACAAAAATGATTTATGGAATCCAAGATCTCTTTCAACAAAAAATTCTCATCTTCTTCTCTAAGAGCACAACTTCATCAACTTACCACATCATTAGCAAGATTCTTTTAATTCATCAAGCTCTACAAAAGAGCCTTCAACAAACTGAAGAGATAATGAAGTGAAAATTTTGAATTCATGAAAATGAAAGAGCATCAAAATTTCATGCAACCATTTTTATTGGATTTAAAATGCTCAAATACGCATATAAGTAAAATTTCAGTCAAATTGGTTCATTAGAGTGCACACAGCAATAATCCAAATAAACTGGATAAAAATCCCTGCAAGATTAATCTCAAGCATTGGATCCTATTTAAAAGAATCCAATGGCTTCCACCTCATCTTTCTCCGTGCATTGGCCTCTTTACTAAACAATTGGGATTGATTTCAGTGAATTAGTAAGTTCCATAAAATAATTTATGGTCTTTCATCTCTGAAATTAATCATAAACTTAAGATCCTATTTTATTTCGATAGTTTAAATGAGTTGAAAGTTTCCACATTCGAACATAAGCAAATTAGTTAAAATTGCTTCTTGCAGTTTTGTGCAGTTCAAGATTTTAATTTTTTTTAAGTTAAGGTCATATCTTTTAAATTAACGTCCACATTAATGTCATTTTGAGCCATTTAAAGCACCTCATAATTGCAACCACTCATATTTTAATTCAATTATTTGCATGGACAATTGCCATACTTCACTAAAATAGCATGCTTCCTAGACCACCCTACTTCTATAGCTGCACTATCCACGTTTTCTGGTAGTGTTCTCTTTTATTTGGGAAGAGTTTTTAGAAGTCCTTAGCAGGAGATGATGTAGGATGAGTTTTATGCATTTTTTTAATTTATTATTATAACATTTCTCCTGTTTTTCTGTTCACCGTCTGTTTAGAAAATAAAGGGAAAAAAACATTTTTTGAAGGAAATGGCTAACCAAAAGATAATTAAGGAGGCAATTGAGCATAATATTTCATAATCCTTGAAAACCAACTTCTATCATGTTTTGCTATTCAGTTGCATGGAGAAAATAATTAAATCATCAAATGCTAAATTGGTCATTCTTCGGAGAACATTCATTATGACACGCCAAACATAACAAGTACTTTTACGGGTTCACTCCCCAAATATACCATATCTCATACAAACAGCTTAAATCTTATTAGTTGACGGGAGAGACTTCAAAAATCTCGTTCTTGCTCTTCAACAGATAGGGCATATAGACATAAACGTGTAGTTAGCATAATGACTGGATCATAAATTATTCAATGGCTTTGCGATGATCAATTTCATACAATCATCTCATCATCATCATCACAAACCACTATGAATCTCTGTTTTTCAATTATTCCTACTAAATATTGTATAAGTTGTTGAACTAATTTATGCAAATTTTTTTATTTATTCCAATTTATGTGGAAAACAAAAATAGTTGAGTGAGATTTAGCTATGATAATATACTTATTTAACTCTTAATCCTCAACGCGCAAGCTTGGCATTTCTAACAAAATTTTGAATTGAAATTATGGATTTGCATCGTCCATACGTAGTTAATAGTAAATAGTTTCCCTAAAGACACTATGATGGAATTAAAAACACGGGAAATAACAAATCAGATAAATATGCCATTAAAAACTGCAAATTGGTGCCGATTAATATGAAATTAACATGGTGTGGTGAGTAGGCAATATAAAATACCAGAAAAAAAAAAACTTTAGAAGAAATCTCTCTTCCCCTGCACAGTTATGCATACACAGTTGAGCCCATTAGTGCTAGTTGTTGCTGGTTATTGATTCATAGCCGCACTCACTGGTGCTACATAAAACTGCAATGATTCACAACCATGCTCAAAAGCATTTTTGCAATCTCGCATCAAAGCCACCACCCCAACCAAGTACAACCTTGGAAGCAGTACATATTATGTATGTATTAGGAGCGAGGGTAATTAAAATAAGCTTCTTATTAGCATTATTCTTTTTTGGTAGAGGGGAGTGAATTCATATTAAACATAGGATATGCCATATATTATCTTACATCACATAGGGCAATATAAAACATAAGCATATGTTAAAATTCTTAAAGAAGAACCATCAACAGTAGCAGCCCACACTAGCGTAGCATAAACTTACAAGCACTACTCTGTATGTAAGCAAGCAAAGCATAGTTTTTAAAAATAAAGTTAATTAGTTAAAACGAAGAAGTGCATCATGAGATAGATGTTGTAAAAGAAATCATGGCAGCCTATAGATAATTTAATGGGAAATTTACATTCGTAGCACACAATTCTTATGTATTTACAAATCTCACACCTAAACTTTCATGTTTACATACATAGCACTTTGGTACCCATGCATCAAAATGTGTATTTCACTTTTAAAAAAGGTAATAGTGTTATTTTGATGTGATATTAAGGATTTGAGTGTTATGTGTGTAAATATGAAAGTTTAGGTGTGGGAAATGTGAATACATAAGAATTGTGTGCTATGTATGTGAATGCTCGTAATTTAAATTAAAAAGGAATCAGGTTGATTATGCTATATGGATCAAGCATTAAGGAATGTAGAAGTCATTAACATACAAATTCAGTATAATAGGAAGTAGAATATTAAAATGGTCCCATTGTAAAAACTAAAGCAAGGAAAGCTATGATGAGAGACAATTATACAAGAAAGAAGAAAAGGATAGAACCTATTGAAATAAAATAATTTAAAGCAGACTTTGGTGATTGAAAATTATCTACAGAAATAAGTAAAAGATAAGGGATTAAAACAAAGGCAATGTAACAAGATATTTTGCCAAAAGGATTTTGTAAAATTAGATAACCTATATAACATTTAATCAAAAGGAATTCTGGATATATATAATATAGTTATGATAAGGCTAGAGGTTATAAATATGTGTGTGTGCTAGGGGTGATATGCGTTTGTGTGCATTAAAAAAAATATACATGTGTACTCATTCCGAAGGAATTGAGGATCTACATATAATAGTAGTGGTAAAGCTAGAGGTGATACACGTGTTTTGTGTGTGCTACAGGTGATTTCCAATTGTCTGTGGGTGCATAAATATTTACTATCATAAATACCAAACAAAAATCTTATTTTTCAATCATACTAAGCACAGAAGTTAAGAACTCTGAAAGTTACAACAACGTTGAAAAATATTAATAGCTAGAAAGAATGATAGAATCTATATCAAAATTTGATTTGACATGTCATTGAGTCACAGTAACATATTTTGTTTTCAATTTATGTCTAATACATGTCCAGGTCATGTCCAAGAGGTGAAGTATAAAAAATATTTAACAATTAGTTTTTAACATAGAACCGTGGACTGTAAGTGTACCTTTTTTTTTTCATGAAAAAAAAGGATGTAATTTCCTTTAGCTATATACATGCTTTATAGATGAATGCTAGCCTATAGGGACAACCTAAGCATCTATATCTATTCCTTCGTACTTCTCAAATTTGGATATATAAGGAGTATTAGCATGCTTAGAAGTCCAGCCATGATATAAAATAGATAGAAACATTGACATGTGAAAATAGATGTTAGCTTGTAACCTTTAAAATATCATCCTTTAAATAGCATTAGTGAATTTAGAGTAAAATGTATGATATGATTGAAGCCAAATTAAGGATTGAACTCAACGCAGAATGATAGTTCAGTACTTTAGCTTCCACAGAGACAAACTAGGTAAGGATTATTAGTGATATAACAAATTAAAAGATTTAGATTTCTAGAAATTAGATAATTATGCTAACTAAAAATAAAACTTCTCCCTAATAAAATTACTGTTACCATCATCATTAGCAATAGAATATCTTAAAAATTCTGAGTTGACATTGTGAGACCTGTTCTCCATTCACTTTTGTTGAGTGGAGCATATGTTAATTCAATTTATGGAAGCTTTTTAATTCAGTACCATCGAGGTGCTTTCGGCCCGCCCATTTTACTTATCACATCTCAGACTGATTCTTTATTCCCATATAATCGATGAAGCTCTCCTGTGGAGATAACCAAACCAAATTTTGAGATACCCTCATGCTTAATAGGTGTTACTATCGTTGATCTTCTAAAATAGTTATCTTCCTGTCAATCTTCCTTAGTTTCATCTCTTATCTTACTTTTATCCATAGTTCTCACCACTTCTACGCGAAAACTATTTTGGAACGGCTGATTCAGTCCAATTCCAAAACTTCTAGCGCGCTAAACTAGCCATAACAGCTCCGCACCTGCAATTAACAAAGGAACTTGTGAATTGGTCTTTGAAGAACCACCCCGTTCCAATATCGAATCAAATAAATGGAAATAAAAAATTTTGATTAAAATAAAGAAACTAATTACAATTTCATATCCCAAAATTTAGATTCAGAATCATTTTCATAATATCTGAGGGTGAAGTGTCCCGATTTAGAATATTGTATATTAAATTAGAGAAAGATATCATTTTTGCATTATTATTATATTATTTAAATCATACTAAAATAATTTTAATTTTATTATGCCATCCAATTCAGCTTTGGTTAAACTCCAATTAAACCTTTGAATATTGAACCTCTCTTACTTCTATTACAATGTTCAGTAAAATATTCAAAGTTTTAGTTTTCTCACATTTAATTTAGCAATCGTATTTTTAGAAAATTTAATTGTTATGGATTTCACTATCAGCCAACACTTGAATCCGTACAAAATAGCTTGACTCAATGATATTTTTCTAATAATATATTCTTAAAAATTCATAAAATTCTTTATAAACAACTCTGAAACACTCGTATCATTATTGTCATCTCATCATTATTAGCTCCGCCCCAATTATTTAACCTTAACTTTATGAATTCTCAATTCCCAATTGTTCTTGTTGAGAGTTTTTTAAACTCTTGAAAATGTTCTTCACAAATTATTTGGGACTTTATGCATTTTTATTGAGATCCTTTCTAATCCTTTTTGACACATCAAGTTTAAGTAATCAGCTTTATCTCCACAAGGTATACTCCTCTATATGGCTTAACTTTATTGTAAAATCATGATACGACATTCAAACTTATCACACATATGCATCACATGACTCTCCAATACTGATGAATAAATTAATTTAATTCTGAATCCACTTGTAGAGCAAGTATTCAATTTAAATTCACTAATACTAGATCTTCATCTTTAAAAATGTTCACCTATTGTTCTAACTCCTATATTTTGATCAAGAAGACTTTGTTATTTGGGAAATGCAACTAAAATATCTCCAAAAACAATATATAAAGATGCAGGCTTAATATTTATTTTGATAATTGTGACCTTGTTAATCCTTCTAAGAGTGGTCATTGAACCATATATATTTAATAAATTCTACACATGACACAATTGAATCCTTAGCCGCTCTAAATATAAGAATTTTCTAATTATATAATGTAATCATACGAATGTAAAAAGTATATGGAATTGGCAACTAAAAAGTACATCCAAGTAATTAAAGCCCATGCATGGGTATTGAGACCCATAAATAAATGTAAAGGTATTTATCATAAAAATTAGTTCATGATAACTGACTTCAATGATAAGACAAATCAAAATTTTGAGAAATTATAGTTATAAAAGCCGAAGAAAGGTACGTAAGACAAACTGGACTCACAATTGGCAATGCAATAATTTTCTTGTGAAAACGTGAAACTAAAAAAATTCTAATGAAACAAAAGATAAATAGAGAAAAAAACTTCTTCCCATGACAATATCATTATATTATCTGTGTAACTTTGCACGTAGGAGAAATCTTCCAATAATTGTTGCTCTTTCTATACGTAGCTGGTGTGTGTGTGCGTGTGAATGTGACATGATTCTTCAAATAATAATAATACAAATAAATAAATAAATAAGTAAACCTAGTATCCCCAAATAAATGTCATATCATTAAATTTCAGCCACATGAAAGTTAAATTATAATATTCAGTGAGTTTAGCGATTAAATAATCATAGCCATGCTTCTTTAATTGAACAATTAACAGCTTTGGATACCTACGAGATAAAGACTCAAACAAAACATGTTAAAAACTGAACGTGAAACTCAAAATAGCAAATGTTTTGAAACATCTAGATTAAATATTAACACCAATCATGATATCTGGTAGCTGTTTGAGAAAAAGGAAAAGCAGGTCAAAGTAACCACACTATAAAAAGATACCGGGGAGGGAGGGAGGGAGTTTACTTGTTTTGATCAATAAAAAGATACCCTATAAGCTAATTGATGGACAAACTATACTTGTTTTGATCAATAAATAGAGTTCAGAAGGCAAGAAGTTACCCTATAAGCCAATTGATTTTGCCACAATAAACGCAGTAGAAGCTTCCATCCAACTTCTGACAATACCCAGTCTTCAAAATGCCTGCCTTCTCATGCTTGAGCGCACATTTGAGATGGCAAGACATACCACATGAATCACCACAATATGGAGGATCAGAGCTGCAAACCAACCAAAGAGAAGGATCCTTATTATCATCGTACTGATAGCAGATGCAGCAAGAACATCTTTTACAATATTGATCCGGAGGACACAGAGTGGCTCGGCATACAAGATTCTGACAGAAGTGGTTGTTAGTATTGTCTTCGTTGGCTTCAGTGGACAGATCCGAGTGCAAGTCATTTCCAGGTTGTAGTGGTTGCTCCTTTTTCCTTTTCTTTTTAGTTCCATTTTTGTTTTTCAAAGAGATAAGTGAAATGGAATTTTTATCATCACTGACCATGCCATTCTTTTGGGAAACCAGCCTAAGGAGATGCTCTATCATTTTAGGTTTTGTCACACCAGTATATTTCCTCTCCTTTCCCATCTCTGCACATATGAGCTGAAGAAGCTCTCGACGTGTCCATGACTGAAGAATTTCAGGAGCATTGTCTGCCCATCGTGATATTTCATGTACTAGCTCCCTTTTCTCCTCCAAACTCAGCTCACTGCATTTTGCAGGATCTATCACAAAACCTATAATATGGCAAAAGCGTCATTTTAGGGATGAGTTAAGCTCTTGGAGATTTTAAAACAAATAAAATGAATATCATAAGAATTACCATGAATTTCAGAAGGAAGAGGGTTATTAACCATTTTTGTGTGTGTGTATTCTATAAACAGTACAAAATACTGAAACTGAATGTAATTTGAGCATTGTCAGAAAAAAAGATGTTGAGTTGAACCGCAATGTATTGAACACTACTAATATATTCAACTCTAATTGATATCAGAGTTAACCCAAATCATAATAAGAAAAATAAATATTATTAATGATTGCAAATAGATGATTACAATCAAACACACTTGAAAGAGGAAATAACAACACAACACAAATTCACACTAGGATTTGATCCATGAGCGGTGGAGGTCAACTAAGTGGTTGGGGAGCAGAGATAGGTGGCTGAAATGGGTTAAGTGGTTGGGACAACAAAGGATCAGCAATAAGGAGGAGGGGCGGACAACAACGGATTGGCTAGAATTTTAATTAAGAGTTTAAATCCTTAAATTTTAAATTTGTCCTTTCAGTTAATCTAATATTAAATAATTAATTTAAATTAAATACTTTTGGAAATAGAACTCAACCCTTCTTTTACAATCATCTACTTTTCTAGATCCAATTCTAAAACTTGTTCACCTTTGAATTCCTAACATTAATTAACAAGAACTCATAATTAATACATAAATATTTATTAAATTCAGAAATTAAAATAATTAAAACCTACTCTTACCTTATTAATGGCTCGATCAATTTTCTATTCACTGACTTCAACATTCTCTTGAAGAAACCACACACACACGAGCCAACTCTTCTTCATTCTTCCTTAGAGTTTAGCTCAACTCCAACACATTACGGTGAGGTCACAATCCTTCCACTAGGGCTTATGTCTCCTCTTTTCTCCTTCTACCACTTTGCTCGGTTAGGGCATGCATAACTCCTCTTTTCTGCGACAACATCCTTCCTTCCACGCATGAGAAATCAATCGCCTCCACTGCAACAGGGGCGCCATCTCCTTGCCCTAGACAACACAAGTGTCGAATTGATGGTAAGTAATGTCGACAGCCTTCCCACACTCAAATGTGACGTTGACAGCAAGGTCCGAGATGGACGCCAACCTCCTCCTACTTCTTCCTTATCTCTCATCATTTCATCTTGTTGAAATCTATTAAAAGAAACTAGCAAGAAAATTGATCGAACCAACCCAACTCGTTGAAATTTCTCTTCATTTTATTTTATTTTTCTAATTAATACAACCTCTCATCCTTATAAAATTTCATCACACAAGCTAAAATGAACAATCCACAAATCTTTAAGAAAGTTTGATTCTCGTTAAGAGCATATAAGATAAATCCAACATTCGAAGTAACATAATTCAACTGAAAAAAAAAACTCCAAACAACTAAAAGAATAATTATATAACTAAAATAACACCCAATTTCTGAAATCAAAGTACATAAAGATGTTAAACACCAGATAACTACATGACACTCAAATGACAAATTACTCCATCATAATCTATTAGCATATATATCAACAACAATAGGTTCTTCATGTTCCTGTTGAGTTAGGAAATAAAGTCGTAGTCGAATATTTTGCATCGTTTGCTCCTTATGAGTCACTATAACAACTTCTCTGTTGGCCCCTTCTAAAAATAGATCTCTCCTAAAAATTTCTCCGAGTTGAATCTATTCCTAAAGTTAAAAATTGATGTAGATTTTTTAGCAAAATTAGGGCAAGTTTTCAACTCATGTCCAGGTTGTCTATATAAATAACATACATTAAAACCAAAAGCAATCACCATTGGTATTGCTTCCCACACTTAACCCTAGCTTCAATATTATTACTGCTGACATGAATCAATTTTATGTGATTTTACTTGCTTTCTACCCTATTATTTTTACTTATTTATAATGGATTTACACTTGTGAAAGGTTTTTATTAACGTTGTGTAGGTTATAGATGTTGAATATGCATATTTCGAGGCGAAAAAAACCAACGAAAAAGTGGCCTCAAGCAGAGTGACCACTCCTAGAAGTGTTACGACCACGCCACCATATCGTCACAAGCAACGTGACCACGTCACAAACGGTCGTGGCCTCGTCACAAACGGTCGTGGCCACGTCATATCTTCATAGGGCTGGCGTGACCAGGCCGCCTGATCCAAAAGGCCAGCATGACTATGCTGCATTTCGACGTGACCACACTAATGGAGTGGGAATCTGTTTTGGCAAGAATTTTTCTTACCAAATTTATGAATCAAGCTATAAAAACATACCTTTAGGCCATATTTTGGAGGAGAGATTTGGAGATGGCTAGAGAGCAGAAAGAGGGGGATTTTGGAGAGTTTCTTAGGTTTCTCTTCCTCTCTTTGTATTGAATTCCTAAGGGCTTTTCCTATCATTTGATTTCTTAACACTATCCTCGTGCAATCGGTATGTGGTACTCTTTAACCGTTTTATTACTTGACATATATACTTGCGTGATTCGACCAATTTGCTTCACCACAACTTTTTGTCTCATGAGCTGCAAATCTGGCTAATAACTCCATCAATGCATGACTTTATCTTCTTTCAGTTGGACTTTTTAAAATTAAATGTTGGTGTCACTTCTTCAAAACTCTTCCTCTTGTGCAAATAACATACTTAGAACCAAATAAGCATTCACCATGGTGTTGTTTCCCACACTTAACACAAGATTCAATATTGTTGAAGTCAATCCGACTAATAACTCTATCAGTGTATGACTTAATCTTCTTCCCATTAGACTCTCCAGAATGAACTGTTAGTGTCACTTCTCCCAAACTCTTCCTCTAGTGTAAGTCCCTACGCTTTTGAGCCTACTGAAAATCAATTTCCACCCACATAGCCCTCTATAGTAACAATGAAAGTCTTCAATCCCAAGTGGCCCTACTGACTACCTAATTGAATCCTTCAATTCATAAAGGAACTTGTGGAATTTCTTCGCAGCATTTGGAAGGATTTGTGGTGCATACCTCGCGAGTATATTATACTCTAAATCATATTGCTTAATCGATCAATCTCTCTGCAACAACCCACTTGCCTTGCTTTTATCTCATAGTTAACAGTAGTACAAACCAATCTCTAAAAATTTCCACAAACTCTTCCCACCTCACCAAGTGGTCGGTTCTACCTCCAAACTTCTCCTAAAACTGTCCTTGCCACAATCTCTCAACTTTTTTCTAAAAGATAAAATTGATAAGTGTCACCCTACTCTCTCGTGAACAAGACAACCCATGTATAATCTTTTCACTAATCAGTCAGTTCTCAGCTTACACTAGAATTTCTCCACCAAAAAAGAGAAGTAACCTCATATAGTGTAACAACTTCATATATTATATCACTAATAATTTAATATTCACATATAAAAATAGCGGCTTAAAGAAACAATTTCATTAATAATTAAATATATACCTTTCAAATTATTGAACTTGTCCTTTGTACATATTGGTTCCTCTTATATTCATCTTATTCAAAAGCTAAAAACATAAAAAAAAATATTAAAACAACATAACAAGTTATGTAAATATAACTCTGTGCAGCAATCAAACTCTAAACTACAGTAACACAACGAAAAGAAGATAATATTTATGTTGGTTTTTTATATTTCTTTATGGAAGATCCTATATTAATCTAATGTATATGTCCATGACATTTATTCAATGGAAATAAATTAAGCTTTATTATGCATTAACTTTATTTGTATTCTTCAAAGTTTAATCATTAATTTTACTTTAACTTCATACTATTAACATTTACATGTCTTAGAAACACCATCAAAACATGATCTAACACACCCTCGATCGATATTATTCTATCAACAAGACAATTTGTGATCTAATTTACACGGTTATTGAAGGTGGAAAGATACCAACTCACCCCTAGTCAATATTCTCCAACCAAGCACAGTGATTAACAGTCTAAATATCACAATTATTTGAGGTGATAAAATAACATCTACGTATGTGAGTACATTGGTGCCCTCTGTCTATATCATAGTGGTGAACGTCACTACCTAATCTGATAGCTTAGCATAAACAAAGTCAAGAACTACACTCGAACAATATTATAACTTTTTTACTTTACACAAATTTTCATAACTTCTAATTTATAAAATAGCCACTAAGAAACGGCAAAATACATTATAAAAAAATGAAATCAATCAAAATAAATAACATTGTCTACATGGAAAACATCTTAAACAAACACAATAGTATCACTACTAAGAAATAAACAATACAATAACTATAACTACAACACAACATAATACATATCAACAGTAGTCCTCTTAAATCCAATCTCCTGTTAGTCATAACAATCTAACATTTTCCTGAAAGTAACCATTAATTTTGAAAAATAAATTGCACCACTTTTGAACAATTACAATCTTTTTATGCACTAAATATGTAAATATTATGCATGAATGTCCCAAAACAATGTAATTTATTGATAAATCAAACTATGAGCTTAACCCTTCCCATTTTAATTCATGTATTTATCTATGTTAACATCTTTAATAAATCATATCAGGATTACCGTCATATCTGAAGGAATCTTTAAAATTATACTTCAAAATTATACCCATAAATAATCTCAAAATTTTGCACCCAAAATTACACCTTTCTCATTTTCATTTATTTTTCCGTGCTTGGGTACATCACATCCCGTATCAGTATCACATTTGGGGCTAATCTTATATGACTTAAGCTTCTACATTTCATTTCCCTTAATTATCCTTTTTTTATAGTCATTAAACAATCATTTTTTTATCACTTCATTTTATTCATTTAAGTGATTCTTTTAACTTACAACATGCCTATAATTATAAAAGCAGATATCTGAAATAACAATGCACTGCCTCTATATAATAAAACATCCCAATACATATAAGAAAGTAATTACTAAGTGGTGTCAATTATTCTTAAAATTAATGGTTATTTTTAGAAAAATATTAGATT